AGCATACAGTATGTCACACATCATATGAGGGTCATATGAGACTTCATGCCAATAATAAATAATAAAGTAAAAACCCTCTTTTCTCTAACCAGCACTTTTTACAACAGCACACGTGTATTGCTTTAATGTCCCCCCAAAATACAAGTAATATAAATACTAGTATTTTAAACCTGTGATCAAATATTTCTAGTATTGTTTATTTCTACACTTTAATTTGTGCCTTGTTTGGGATCAATAAAGTGCCTCTATCTTATTTTAACAGCAATATTCACAGATTATTATTGGGATTAACGGACAGACGGTCACATGACCGGAGAAATGTACTGATGTAAAACTAGCTAATGTTGGAGTGAACTGGTGGAGGTGGGGGGCCGATTAGTTAGCTAGTGCTCCTCCTCCTGTAGGAGGACCCTGTGATGGAGGCTCCCCCTCCTGTGAGAGGACCCTGTGATGGAGGCTCCCCCTCCTGTGAGAGGACCCTGTGATGGAGGCTCCCCCTCCTGTGAGAGGACCCTGTGATGGAGGCTCCCGAGTCGACATGGAGCTCCTTATCAGATAGAAAGCCCATCATGAGACTCAGTGCTCACAAACGTTTCAGAATCAGAGTCAGATTCAGAATCAGAGTCAGAGTCAGAATCAGAGTCAGAATCAGAGTCAGAATCAGAGTCAGAGTCAGAGTCAGAGTCAGAGTCAGAGTCAGAATCAGAATCAGAATCAGAGTCAGAGTCAGAATCAGAATCAGAATCAGAATCAGAGTCAGAATCAGAGTCAGAGTCAGAATCAGAATCAGAGTCAGAATCAGAATCAGAGTCAGAGTCAGAATCAGAATCAGAGTCAGAATCAGAATCAGAATCAGAGTCAGAATCAGAATCAGAGTCAGAATCAGAGTCAGAGTCAGAGTCAGAATCAGAATCAGAGTCAGAATCAGAGTCAGAGTCAGAGTCAGAATCAGAGTCAGAGTCAGAATCAGAGTCAGAATCAGAGTCAGAATCAGAATCAGAGTCAGAATCAGAGTCAGAGTCAGAGTCAGAATCAGAATCAGAGTCAGAATCAGAATCAGAGTCAGAGTCAGAGTCAGAATCAGAGTCAGAGTCAGAGTCAGAATCAGAGTCAGAATCAGAATCAGAGTCAGAGTCAGAGTCAGAATCAGAGTCAGAATCAGAGTCAGAGTCAGAGTCAGAGTCAGAGTCAGAATCAGAGTCAGATCAGAGTCAGATCAAATCAGAGTCGAGTCAGGGAGATCAGAATCAGAATCAGAGTCAGAGTCAGAGTCAGAATCAGAGTCAGAATCAGAGTCAGAGTCAGAATCAGAGTCAGAGTCAGAATCAGAGTCAGAATCAGAGCAGAGTCAGAATCAGAGTCAGAGTCAGAGGTCAGAATCAGAGTCAGAATCAGAATCAGAATCAGAGTCAGAGTCAGAATCAGAGTCAGAGTCAGAGTCGAATCAGAGTCAGAATCAGAATCAAGTCCAGAGTCAGAGTCAGAATCAGAGTCAGAGTCAGAGTCAGAGTCAGAATCAGAGTCAGAGTCAGAATCAGAGTCAGAGTCAGAGTCAGAGATCAGAGTCAGAATCAGAATCAGAATCAGAGTCAGAGTCAGAATCAGAGTCAGAATCAGAGTCAGAGTCAGAGTCAGAATCAGAGTCAGAATCAGAATCAGAGTCAGAGTCAGAGTCAGAATCAGAGTCAGAGTCAGAGTCAGAATCAGAGTCAGAATCAGAATCAGAGTCAGAGTCAGAGTCAGAGTCAGAATCAGAGTCAGAATCAGAGTCAGAGTCAGAATCAGAGTCAGAATCAGAGTCAGAATCAGAATCAGAGTCAGAATCAGAGTCAGAGTCAGAATCAGAGTCAGAGTCAGAGTCAAATCAGAGTCAGAATCAGAGTCAGAATCAGAATCAGAGTCAGAATCAGTCAGAGTCAGAATCAGAGTCAGAATCAGAGTCAGAGTCAGAATCAGAGTCAGAGTCAGAGTCAGAATCAGAGTCAGAGTCAGAGTCAGAATCAGAATCAGAGTCAGAATCAGAATCAGAATCAGAGTCAGAATCAGAATCAGAGTCAGAATCAGAGTCAGAGTCAGAGTCAGAATCAGAATCAGAGTCAGAATCAGAGTCAGAGTCAGAGTCAGAATCAGAGTCAGAGTCAGAATCAGAGTCAGAATCAGAGTCAGAATCAGAATCAGAGTCAGAATCAGAGTCAGAGTAGAGTCGAGAGTCAGAATCAGAATCAGAGTCAGAATCAGAATCAGAGTCAGAGTCAGAGTCAGAATCAGAGTCAGAGTCAGAGTCAGAATCAGAGTCAGAATCAGAATCAGAGTCAGAGTCAGAGTCAGAATCAGAGTCAGAATCAGAGTCAGAGTCAGAGTCAGAGTCAGAATCAGAGTCAGAGTCAGAGTCAGAATCAGAGTCAGAATCAGAATCAGAGTCAGAGTCAGAGTCAGAATCAGAGTCAGAATCAGAGTCAGAGTCAGAATCAGAGTCAGAGTCAGAATCAGAGTCAGAATCAGAGTCAGAGTCAGAATCAGAGTCAGAGTCAGAGTCAGAATCAGAGTCAGAATCAGAATCAGAATCAGAGTCAGAGTCAGAATCAGAGTCAGAGTCAGAGTCAGAATCAGAGTCAGAATCAGAATCAGAGTCAGAGTCAGAGTCAGAATCAGAGTCAGAGTCAGAGTCAGAGTCAGAATCAGAGTCAGAGTCAGAATCAGAGTCAGAGTCAGAGTCAGAATCAGAGTCAGAATCAGAATCAGAGTCAGAGTCAGAATCAGAATCAGAGTCAGAGTCAGAATCAGAGTCAGAGTCAGAGTCAGAATCAGAGTCAGAATCAGAATCAGAGTCAGAGTCAGAGTCAGAATCAGAGTCAGAGTCAGAGTCAGAATCAGAGTCAGAATCAGAATCAGAGTCAGAGTCAGAGTCAGAGTCAGAATCAGAGTCAGAATCAGAGTCAGAGTCAGAATCAGAGTCAGAATCAGAGTCAGAATCAGAATCAGAGTCAGAATCAGAGTCAGAGTCAGAATCAGAGTCAGAGTCAGAGTCAGAATCAGAGTCAGAATCAGAGTCAGAATCAGAATCAGAGTCAGAATCAGAGTCAGAGTCAGAATCAGAGTCAGAATCAGAGTCAGAGTCAGAATCAGAGTCAGAGTCAGAGTCAGAATCAGAGTCAGAGTCAGAATCAGAATCAGAGTCAGAGTCAGAATCAGAGTCAGAGTCAGAGTCAGAGTCAGAGTCAGAATCAGAGTCAGAATCAGAGTCAGAATCAGAATCAGAGTCAGAGTCAGAGTCAGAGTCAGAATCAGAGTCAGAATCAGAGTCAGAGTCAGAGTCAGAATCAGAATCAGAGTCAGAGTCAGAATCAGAATCAGAGTCAGAGTCAGAGTCAGAGTCAGAATCAGAGTCAGAATCAGAGTCAGAGTCAGAGTCAGAATCAGAGTCAGAATCAGAATCAGAGTCAGAGTCAGAGTCAGAGTCAGAGTCAGAATCAGAATCAGAGTCAGAATCAGAATCAGAATCAGAGTCAGAGTCAGAATCAGAATCAGAATCAGAGTCAGAATCAGAATCAGAGTCAGAATCAGAATCAGAATCAGAGTCAGAGTCAGAATCAGAATCAGAATCAGAGTCAGAATCAGAATCAGAGTCAGAGTCAGAATCAGAGTCAGAATCAGAATCAGAATCAGAGTCAGAGTCAGAATCAGATTCAGAGTCAGAGTCAGAGTCAGAATCAGAGTCAGAGTCAGAATCAGAGTCAGAGTCAGAATCAGAATCAGAGTCAGAATCAGAATCAGAGTCAGAGTCAGAGTCAGAGTCAGAGTCAGAGTCAGAGTTGCTCTTCAACATGCATCATATCTGCACGCTGCAGAAGAAGCGGAGAATAACTGAAGGATGGTTTTGAAGGAGCACGATCGACACCTCTTTAAATCCCCTCACGTGTTAAAGTGAAATCATGAGGGATTTGCACATTATTTTAATGTATGCACAAACCAACAGTTACCATGCTCTCCTGGACCAGAGTCACTCTGCTGATCAGACAATAACACTCTCAGCTGCTCTGCTTTCAGAGAGGAAACAGATAAAGAAAAGCCTCCAGCTCCTCCTCCAGCAGGCTGTGCTGTGTCTGTTAGTTGGTGCGTGTCCCTTTAAAGCAGCGGGGTCCAAACCTTTTTCACTGAGGGCCACATACAGAAAAACATACGAAGTCACTAGAGGTATACTGCCTTATCAGTTCAGTTACAAGTTAGCTAAATCAATGTAGGTCAATGATGCTTGATACTTGAAAATGCTACATCCCAGCTCTCCAGAGGGTGTACTTTATTTAGTTATAAGACGTGTTCGTAACTCATTCCTTAAAACAGAAGCTTCTCATTGCTTATAAAAAGATTAAGGGTCTATTTAAAGCTTGTTATGGAAATCAGTTATTGGGCTTTTTTTAATCAACTAAGATTTGTTTGACATTTTTTCCAACTTGAATTGACAGAATGTATTTGAAAAGTGGGCTTTTTAACACATGAATACTGTGTGATATATATTTAAGAAGTACAATATATGACAAGCACAAGTTTATTTGTGGGCTGTATTTCATTATACTTTTTTAATTAGCTGAGGGACGTTTCAAAATGGACCGCGGGCCGTAGTTTGGAGACCCCTGTGTTTGAGACATTGAGCTTGAACTGTTGATTTGAACTTTCTTTTAACAAGGCATTTGTCACTTAAATATATATATGTATCCACTACGAACGCACATGTGTCTCAATCATGAATAATCACTTCACGATAACTCCCTCATATCATGGAGGCCCTGGACATATTTCTCTATGTTCTCTATTTCCCAGGTGTAGCAAAGCTTAGAAACAGAGACAATACCTTTGTCTCGTTGTAGGTCACTCTCTTTGTTGCAGCGTGAGATTCCTCTGAACAAAACAGACCAAAAGACAATTTCAACAAAAGATGTGAACGAGGACAAGTCTCTGTATAAAAGGCAGCTGCAGAGCCCAGGTGAGCAGGCGGAGAATCTGCACAGGTAAGCTGATCATTTCTCTCTACGCTCAAAATGAATAACTTATATTCAGGGGTTACTCTCTAATAAATGGGTTAAAATTACGATACATTCAGTTTCCCAAGATCTAGCTTGGTTTGTAAACTTTTTGTTCCATTTTCGTAACTTAAATTCAATGAAAATATGTGCAACACACTTTGATGGGTCAACTGAGAATAAATCTGGTGGCGGATTTTTTTTTTTTACAATTTGTATGAATTGAAAACATATTTGGATCTAATGCGAAGTCATTAAAAGTCCAGTTTCTTTGTTACAGATGTTCAGTGAAAACATGTCGGCAGTGAGAGGCTGCGCTGTGCTGCTGCTTCTGGCCGTCGTCGTTTCAGGTTCGTTTGAATAACTATGTGCTTAATAAGATTTTAAAAAGAATACAGCTCGATAATAACAAGGTAGTTTAGCAGTTTCCAGGTAAGGGACAGAATTAAACTAATTATTTAAAGCAGGGGTGTCAAACTCAATTTCATGGCGGGCCACATCAGCATTATGGTTGCACTCAAAGGGAAGGCTCTAACTTTAAGACTATATAAAAATACATATATAAATATATAATATATATAAAATAATGTATTATATTCCATGATTGCCTCTGCATTGGATTATTCTGGGACAGGGTAATAACTGAATAATGAACTACGTCTGAAAGCAGAAGTCTAGGGCAAATCATTGCAAATCTCTTCAGTGTTCATGGCACAAAATGATTTAAAAGAAAAGCCAAATTCTGGAAAAAAAGTCAAAATATTTAAAAAAGGAAGCGACATTTTGAAAAAAAAGTAACATTTTGAAAAAAGGTCAAATTCTAAGAAAAAAGTCAAATTTGAGATGCATTGTGGGACATGTAGTTTATGGGCAACGTGCTTCTGTAAATATGCATGTAACCGTATAATAAACATATTATATTCTTTGCAAGCTCTTGGGGGGCCACAGAAAATGAAGTCACGGGCCGGATTTGGCCCCCGGGCCTTGGGTTTGAAACCCCTGATTTAAAAGAAAGGTTTCAGCATTATTATACATGTTATTGCCTGTAATAAATAACAACAAAAACAGCACTTTAACGAACAAAGATAACTCTAAAAGTTAATCTAAGTAAAAAAAAAAGGTTACATCTCAGAACCTCAGAAAATAATGTTTTTAGATTAGATATTTAATTGACCCCAAGTGTTTTCCGACATTAAAGGGCCCATGTCATGGCCATTTCCACTGATCATAATTACATTGTTGAGGTATACTAAAATAGATTTATACTGTGCAATTTTCCAAACTCACATTGGTTTCGCATACAGCATCTCTGTCAAGCATGTGTATTCAGCAGTATTCACTTTCTCCACTAAACGACTCGTTGGAGCTCTTGCCCCCCCCTCCCTGTGAGCCTAGTGTGCTCCGATTGGTCAGCTCGGCCACTCGTTCTGATTAGTCAACCACCAGAGAGGCTGCGCCATGTCAGTGCTTTTCCCGGCTGCTCTCAGCGTAACATCAGTCTTATCATGGCGTCGGTACAGCGGTATATTTTATATACATATATATTTTTAACTGTTGTTATAGAAGAGTGTGACGGCCTCAGGGCCTTTGTCTTACGGTGGGGTGGAGCTGAAGAGGGTAATCAGCGCGATCACGGACACCTCCGTAGCCGGTGCTATTAATCCCAGCGGCCCGGAGTCTCTCTCCAAAGCGGCTGCAGAAGGACGAACTGAGCGACCCTCTCCCCTCGACCACCTGTCTCTGCATTTACCACAATAAATGTGCCGTGGTTTTGTAAACTCGTGTATGTCTCCTTGTCTTTCCGTTGTGGCCTACGAGCTACTCTCATAACAAAGAGTAAGTTATTTTTACCCGTTATAAACTACTACTGTTTGATGAGAAATCAAATCATGGTTTGCTATATATGAATTCAGGGAAGAAAGGATAGGCCTACTAAGTATTTCCATTAAACTTTATTTTTAGAAATGTACAAAATGAACATAAATATACATATATACACGGTATATCATCCATTCCTCCTCCTCGCATCTTGCCTGCGCACAGTCGGTGCGGTGCCTTTTAGCACAACGCCTCAGTAGTAGTCGAAGTCCCTTCCCCGTCATGGATTGTCCGCCAGGATCTGGCTGGACGAAATCAAATGCAAATCACAAAATATTAGAGAAACTTAGTTGTTTTAGATTCGTTAGTAGTAGTTGTGTAATGAACAGCTTGCCTGCTAATATGCTAACCTAGCTTTGTTTACCTTGGTAGCTAACACGATATGAACGTTAGCTTGGAGGAAAGGCAACTATAATGCAGTGTAATAAAACTACTATGAACAAAAGCTAGTGGTTCATATTAGGCTAGCAATAACGTGTTTATAATTGCAATCGTATACGGGTATTCTGCTACGTTCGGTCATACAATGTAACTTGCATGAATACATTGTTTTGCGCTGGCATACAGCTAGCCTCGTTAGCTACATGCAGTATATGTACAGTCACAATGTACGGTAAATCACAGTACAGTATACTGTATGAGTATTCCGTGTGTGTGACTGCAGACATTCTCCTGCCATGACAAACATGTAAGGCCATCTGCTGACATTGTAGTTGATATATTTAAACGCTAGCAACGTAGCATCACAAAAATGTTTTTCTGACCAAAACTAGCTCTAGCTCCGTGTGTTAGATCGCTACGCCAGCTATAATGTAATTACGTTTCGCGACTGACCGGCAAATCACCCGGAGTATACTGTCAATAGGTATTTTGTGTGTGAATGCAGACATTCTCCTGCTATGAGATACATGTATGCAAGGCCATCTGCTGATATTAGAGTTGATATATGGAAACTCTAGCAACTTAGTTAGCACAGTTAGCACTGTGTCAATGGCTTAGCAGTCCAACACAGTTTACACATTTAAACAGTCTTGTTTGATAAATACACAAATAACAATGCAAACTTACAGGTTGTATACCCAGATCTTCCCCTGCTCCAAACGGTCCAAACAAGCTGTGCATATCCGGCCTCAAACTGGGCAATGTTTTGGAAGCTTTCGTCTGTGAAATGCCGGTTCTTCGAACCTCTGGAGGAGGAACACGACGCTGCTGGTGTGGCCATAGCTCTTCGGGATTGGTCCATTTCGTTCCGGGTACCGCATGACATCAGGCGGTACCCGGAACTAAATGGAAGACTCAAATGGGCAGTGACGTATCTCCAACGAGGCGTTTTGGGGAGGTATTTTCTGTGTTAGAGTTTTACTCGCTACAGGGTGTACTTTGAGGGTTTTGACTCTGCACACCGTTTACATGCATAAAAACCTTCATAACACACAAGGGGACGGGTAATAACCGGAAAAGCATGACATGGGAGCTTTAAGACATAAGACCTTACACATGAACCATTAAGACATAAGACCTTACACATGAACCATTAAGACATAAGACCTTACACATGAACCATTTAGACATAAGACCTTACACATGAACCATTAAGACATAAGACCTTACACATGAACCATTAAGACATAAGACCTTACACATGAACCATTAAGACATAAGACCTTACACATGAACCATTAAGACATAACACCTTACACATGAACCATTAAGACATAAGACCTTACACATGAACCATTAAGACATAAGACCTTACACATGAACCATTAAGACATAAGACCTTACACATGAACCATTAAGACATAAGACCTTACACATGAACCATTAAGACATAAGACCTTACACATGAACCATTTAGACATAAGACCTTACACATGAACCATTTAGACATAAGACCTTACACATGAACCATTAAGACATAAGACCTTACACATGAACCATTAAGACATAAGACCTTACACATGAACCATTAAGACATAAGACCTTACACATGAACCATTAAGACCTTACACATGAACCATTAAGACAGACGATTAAAAAGCATTAAAGATATAAATATCAACAGTAGAAAAGAAACAAAAACAGTGATTATATAAACATATAAATCGTGAAGGAAATATACAGTATCTATAGAGTATAGATATTGAATACACAATATAAATATACAAGTATACAGAATTGAAGGTATTGTATCACACTCACTATACAATTAACATTTGAGTTATCAGATTAATTAAAGTTTTAAATCCAATTGATTTGTTTTATATTTGGACTTTGCTTATAAATCAAACCCCCAATTAAAATAAAACGTTCCTCCTAATTTATATCAGAATTAGAATTTCTTTATGAACCCCACAGCGGGACATTTACAGTGTTTTAGAAAAAGGGACAAAGCAGGTATGAAGGCAAGTAAGAATGAAATAGCATGTTAAATATAGAGAAAAGCACACGTTAGGGATCAAAGATAAAGCGCAGTCAGTGAAATCCATGGCTAAAAAGTGAGTAGTGAATAGCTGAGTGAACATTTTAAGGTTTGAGATGCTATAAAAATTATGTTTTAAGATAAGATAAGATAAGAAGGACTTTATTGATCCCAATTTGGGAAATGTTTGCGTTGCAGCAGCACAAAAAGACAAGTCATTGTACATTAAAAATGAAAAGACTAGAAATAAACATTCCAAAATGTAAACATCTAAATAAAAATAAAATGTACATGTTGAAATTCAAATTTACAGAAAATATAGTAGATTAGCCAAAATACGTGTATACATTGCACATTACAGGTGTTTAGAAGAAGATCCCAGGAGTCTGTATTCCTTTCGGAGCACTTTTAAATATGTCCCCTATGAATTGGTGTGTTGCTGTTCCTGTTGACCTGCATTACCCCGCCCTTTCTCCCAAACAGTCCCGCCTGCAGAGGGCAAACCGGCGAGGATCATCGGGGGGCAGGAGGTGGTGCCGTACTCTGTCAAATACCAAGCCTCCCTGCAGTATAAAGGGAGGCATTACTGCGGGGGGACGTTGGTTCACCCCCAGTGGGTGGTGTCGGCCGCCCACTGCTGGAGGCCGTGAGTACTGCACACACTCACAGTTTTAAAGGTCTCCTATCATGCAGAATGCACTTTGTGATGTCTTTTCTACATAACTATGTGTCCCCGGTGTGTCAGGAGACTCACAAAGTGATGTCTTCTCTACATCACCATGTGTCCCCGGTGTGTCCCCGGTGTGTCCCCGGTGTGTCCCCGGTGTGTCAGGAGACTCACAAAGTGATGTCTTCTCTACATCACCATGTGTCCCCGGTGTGTCCCCGGTGTGTCCCCGGTGTGTCAGGAGACTCACAAAGTGTCAGGAAATAAACCCCTCTCTCTTTTCCTCCGTACCCAAATCTCTAAAAACGGGGGAACAACGGAGCTGATCCAGATTTGCTGCGTCATGACCACATTACTAAAATGTGGGCGGGCTTTACAGCCACGGGCCAATCAGAAACGTTGCTGTCAGAAACAATGAGACGTGTTCTGGAAGTAATATGGTCTGTGTTTACATTAGCATGCTAACACTCAGAGCTAACCTGTACTGGAGAGAGCATGTGTGAAGAAGCAGGAAATCAAAAGGAAGTCACCTTGTGGTAAACCTGAGAGAGAGAAAGAGTTTGAGCTCCATACTGTTTCAGAGAGAATCCTTCATGTGGTTTGGAACATGATATGGAGTTTAGTCATGGCAGCATTTAGCTGAGTTTCTGTTGGGAGAGTTCTCCTGATGAGATCTACTCTCTCTCTGAAGCTACAGACCCAGAATCTGTTTGGTATTTTGAGCAAAACACTTCATAGACATGTTTTTTATATATTTATATATATATCTATAATAGGATACCTTTAACCTGCAGGTGCATGGGGTCAAATATTCAACTGACAGATATCACCATGAAACTTCACCACTTCATTACTGACATTAAGACAGTTATCTTTTATATTACAAGTTTTCTGACAGGTTGTGTTTAAATATGCTAATGAGGCGTTACGTGATGCTAACTGTTGGTGAGTTCAGGATAAATCTACAGACACTTCAGTCAGTGAAATAAACTCCTGGATGAGCATTTAGAGGCTTTCTTTCTCCTCGTCTGACAGAAGACATGCTGTGGAAGATAAGTAGAATCAGAGTGATCTGGATATGTTAATATCAGGTGAGTTGCTGTGTGTGCAGGAGCGGGCTGATCCAGGTCGTCCTGAGCGAACACAACCTGAACAAAGTGGAAGGGTTTGAGCAGGTTTTTAACGTCTCACAGATTCATCTCCACGGATTTAACTACCGGACGTTCGACAACGACATCATGCTCCTCAAGGTGAGCGGCGCTAAAGTCCAGCTCTTTGCCTACAATACAAATAAATGATCAAATGTTTAATCATATCGCACTGTGCACGAAGAGCTTCTTACTAAAATCTATTACCTGATTTAAGGAACTCACTGTCACATGCACGGCTCCCCTCTCTCTGTGCACCAATTCTCTGGCTTCTGTCACGTGCACTGCCTCTCTCACCCTTGTGCACTTTCTGGCCCGTCACATGCACGGCTCCTCTCTTACTCTCTGGCTCCTGTCACGTGCACGTCTCATCTTTATCTGTGCACTAACCTTTGACCCGTCACATGCACGGCCCTTTCTCTTTGCCATACTCTCTGGCTCCTGTCACGTGCACTGCTCTCTGGCTCCTGTCACGTGCACTCACTCTCTGGCTCTTGTCACGTGCACTAATTCTCTGGCTCCTGTCACGTGCACTCACTCTCTGGCTCTTGTCACGTGCACTAACTCTCTGGCCCCTGTCACGTACACTAATGGCGCATTTCCACCACACGGTCGGCCTCGGCCTCGCTCGGTACTGCTAGGCCTTGTTAGGGCCGGCTCACTTCATGCTGCGCTTCCATTACAGTTTAGGAACTGGGGTAGTTACTATAGTAACGCAGTGTAGGCGGAGCCGTGACGTCATCTTCAATGAGAACCCCAGAAAAACAACACAGCCGTTAGCTGTTAGCACTCAGAGCTCACAGCTCCTCATATATGTTCAGAAACTAGACAAAAGTTAAACAAGTACACACCACAGACTGCCTGTGTCATGGTGAATACAGTCGCTGCTTTATTTATGTCTGTATAGGCCGTTGTTGTGAGTGTGGACGGTCGGAGCATATACTGCGTTAGCTTAGCTAATCTCCATTTAGAAAACACGCATTTTAAAAGGTTTTTCGCCTGCCGTCTGTCTGCAGACTTGTCAAAGCATTAATTCATGGTTTTTACTAACCGGTATCAGTATGTTGTTACTTCGGCATCATTTTGAAACGTGTATTACAATTAAATCACGGTCAAATATGTCCATCTTGTTGTAGTTGTAGCCTCCTTGCCAGCGATTCTCTCTCTAGTTTAGCATACTCAGCCCGACTCAGCCCTGTTTGTTGGCCCCGATAGAACCACAATTTTGTCGGGCCAGAAAAGAGGTGAAAAAGTGGCCCCGGGCCGGGCTGGGCCGTAACTAGGCCTAGTGGAAGCGCAACCAAAAACGGGTACGGCACGACACGGCACGCTTAAAGCGAGCTCCGCGCTGTAGTGGAAATGCGCCATAACTCTCTGGCTCCTGTCACGTACACTAACTCTCTGGCTCCTGTCACGTACACTAACTCTCTGGCTCCTGTCACGTACACTAACTCTCTGGCCTCTGTCATGTACACTAACTCTCTGGCTCCTGTCACGTACACTAACTCTCTGGCTCCTGTCACGTACACTAACTCTCTGGCTCCTGTCACGTACACTAACTCTCTGGCTCCTGTCACGTACACTAACTCTCTGGCCTCTGTCATGTACACTAACTCTCTGGCTCCTGTCACGTACACTAACTCTCTGGCTCCTGTCACGTACACTAACTCTCTGGCTCCTGTCACGTACACTAACTCTCTGGCCTCTGTCATGTACACTAACTCTCTGGCTCCTGTCACGTACACTAACTCTCTGGCTCCTGTCACGTACACTAACTCTCTGGCCTCTGTCATGTACACTAACTCTCTGGCTCCTGTCACGTACACTAACTCTCTGGCTCCTGTCACGTACACTAACTCTCTGGCTCCTGTCACGTACACTAACTCTCTGGCTCCTGTCATGTACACTAACTCTCTGGCTCCTGTCACGTACACTAACTCTCTGGCTCCTGTCACGTACACTAACTCTCTGGCTCCTGTCATGTACACTAACTCTCTGGCTCCTGTCACGTACACTAACTCTCTGGCTCCTGTCACGTACACTAACTCTCTGGCTCCTGTCAGGTGCACTCACTCTCTGGCTCCTGTCACGTGCACTGGCTCCTGTCACGTACACTAACTCTCTGGCTCCTGTCACGTACACTAACTCTCTGGCTCCTGTCACGTACACTAACTCTCTGGCTCCTGTCAGGTGCACTAACTCTCTGGCTCCTGTCACGTACACTAACTCTCTGGCTCCTGTCAGGTGCACTAATTCTCTGGCTCCTGTCACGTGCACTCACTCTCTGGCTCCTGTCACGTGCACTCTCTTTGCTCTTGCTAAGAGTGTTTTCACTCAGAAGTGAGGAGTGGGTTCCCGCCTGCAGCAGCATTCTCTTAGTGATCTCTAAATGTTAAGATAACAATCCTCTCCTGGTTCCAGCTGAGCCGGCAGGCGGTGCTGAACTCCTACGTCCAGCCGGCGGTGCTGGCGGACCCCTCGGACCCCCCCTCGGGCAGCTTGTGCACGGTGAGCGGCTGGGGGGTGACGCAGATCTACAGCTACTCCCTGTCTCCGGTGCTGCGCTCTGTGGACGTGCAGATGATCAATTACTGCAGATATTACTACTGGGGGAGGATCACCGACAACATGCTGTGTGCCGGCTCCCCCCGCGGCGGGAAGGACTCCTGCCAGGTACTGTTCTGTTTCTATGAAGCACCGTTTATCACGGGGCTTTGTTAAGGAAAAGAGAACCCGACATGGGGATCAAGACCCTGACGCAGAGATGTCAAAAGTACATCCTTTACTCAAGTAGAAGTACAGATACTCGTGTTTAAAAATACTCTGGTAAAAGTAGAAGTACGGACTAAACTTCTTTAGTCAAGTAAAAGTAAAGAAGTATGTGCTTTGAAATGTACTTAAAGGGGACCTATCATGCAAAATGCACTTTTTGATGTATTTTATACATAAATGACAAATGACATGTAATACACATGTGTCCCCGGTGTGTCCCCGGTGTGTCCCCGGTGTGTCTCCGGTGCGTCCCCGGTGCGTCCCCGGTGTGTCCCCGGTGCGTCCCCGGTGCGTCCCCGGTGCGTCCCCGGTGCGTCCCCGGTGCGTCCCCGGTGCGTCCCCGGTGCGTCCCCGGTGTGTCAGGGAACTCACGCAGCGTCAGAAAATAAAACCCTCTCTCTTTTCCTCCGAACCCAAATCTCTAAAAACGGGGCTACAACGGAGCTGATCCAGATGTGCGTCCGATATGACGTAATATCTGAAATGTAGGCTAGCTTTACACTCACGGCCCTATCAGAAAGTTGCTATCAGAAACAATGCCCGACTGTTTTGGACGTAATATGGTCGGTGTTTACATTAGCATGGCTAACACTCAGAGCTAACCTGTACTGGAGAGCATGTGTGTGAAGAAGCAGGAAATAAAACGGAACTCACCTTGTGGTATAACCGGCAAGAGAGAAAGCCTTTGAGCTCCATACTGTTTCAGAGAGAATCCTTGATAATCCATGATATGGCGTTTCATCACCGCAGTATTTAGTTTAGACAGTAGCTGCCGGGTCCCGCATGAGCTCAGACCCCTCCTTTTTTCTTTTTTAAAGCTTTATACCCCAAATCAGCACTTTAGAAACAGGAAGTGAAATAGAGGGATATGAGGCATGGCTAGAATGATCTGTTTGGTATTTTTTGTTGGTAGCAAAACACTTCATAGACATGTTTTTTATATATTTGTATATATCTGAGACCTATGCTATTGCCTACAAATAGCATGATAGGTGACCTTTAGGTAAAAAGTACCCATAACTAGCAGCTGTTTTAAAGAGTACCTGACCTCCCTTTATATTAATAGAACAATAATGTCATTGTTAGCTAATGAATGTTTCCATGCTGAACAACGGCAACATGACAACGTTTTCATTGGTCCCTCTTCTTTAGAGAAGACCAGGAAAGACCTCGTCCTGGCGCTGAGCCAGAGCAACAGACTGATCCAGAGTCAGTTTACTCTGTCAGCCAAAGTGAAGAGGCATGCATTAAATATCAAAGATAAACATTACACAAATTACAATTTACAAAAGTACACATCCAGGTGGACAACAAGTACAGTTACAGTATTGTTTAGCATAAGTATAGAATATAAAAGTGTGATAGCAGCCAGATAACAGTAGGGAGAAGTACTCAGATCTAGTTCTTTAGTAAAAGTAGAAGTACTCAGATCTAGTTCTTTAGTAAAAGTAAAAGTACTCAGATCTAGTTCTTTAGTAAAAGTAGAAGTACTCAGATCTAGTTCTTTAGGAAAAGTAGAAGTACTCAGATCTTGTTCTTTAGTAAAAGTAGAAGTACTCAGATCTAGTTCTTTAGTAAAAGTAAAAGTACTCAGGTCTTGTACTTTAGTAAAAGTAGAAGTACTCAGGTCTAGTTCTTTAGTAAAAGTAGAAGTACTCAGATCTAGTACTTTAGTAAAAGTAGAAATACTCAGGTCTTGTTCTTGAGTAAAAGTAGAAGTACTCAGGTCTTGTACTTGAGTTAAAGTAGAAGTACTCAGATCTTGAGTAAAAGTAGAAGTACTCAGATCTTGAGTAAAAGTAGAAGTACTCTGATCGTGTTCTTTAGTAAAAGTAGAAGTACTCAGATCTAGTTCTTTAGTAAAAGTAGAAGTACTCAGGTCTTGTACTTTAGTAAAAGTAGAAGTACTCAGATCTAGTACTTTAGTAAAAGTAGAAATACTCAGATCTTGTTCTTTAGTAAAAGTAGAAGTACTCAGATCTAGTTCTTTAGTAAAAGTAAAAGTACTCAGGTCTTGTACTTTAGTAAAAGTAGAAGTACTCAGATCTAGTACTTTAGTAAAAGTAGAAATACTCAGGTCTTGTTCTTGAGTAAAAGTAGAAGTACTCAGGTCTTGTACTTGAGTTAAAGTAGAAGTACTCAGATCTTGTACTTGAGTAAAAGTAGAAGTACTCAGATCTTGTACTTGAGTAAAAGTAGAAGTACTCAGATCATGTACTTGAGTAAAAGTAGAAGTACTCAGATCTTGAGTAAAAGTAGAAGTACTCTGATCGTGTTCTTGAGTAAAAGTAGATGTACTCTGATCTTGTACTTGAGTAAAAGTAGAAGTACTCAGATCTTGTACTTGAGTAAAAGTAGAAGTACTCAGATCTTGTACTTGAGTAAAAGTAGAAGTACTCAGATCTTGTACTTGAGTAAAAGTAGAAGTACTCAGATCTTGTACTTGAGTAAAAGTAGAAGTACTCAGATCGTGTACTTGAGTAAAAGTAGAAGTATTCAGATCTTGTACCTGAGTAAAAGTAGAAGTACTCTGATCTTGTACTTGAGTAAAAGTAGAAGTACTCAGATCTTGTACTTGAGTACAAGTAGAAGTACCAGAGTGTAGGAATACTCTGTTTCAGTAAAAGTCCTGCATTCAAAATGTTCCTCAAGTGAAAGTAGAAAAGTATTCTCATCAAAATATAGTGAAAGTAGCGACAGTGAAAGTAGTCGTTGTGCAGATTGGTCCATTTCAGAATAATATATATGATATGTTTTATAATGATTGATCATGAAAGTGTTCTCAAAGCTGGTAAAGGTGCAGCTAGTTTGAATGACTTTGTATACTGCAGGGTAGCTTGTGGATTTACTCCAGGTGGAACTAAAGTCTGATTTAACACTTGGTTATATTTCACATCATTCATCCACATCTGTGAAGTAACTAAAGGTATTCAATACATGTAGTGGAGGAGAAGTACACCATGTACCTCTGAACTGTAGTGGAGTAGAAGTACACCATGTACCTCTGAACTGTAGTGGAGTAGAAGTACACCATGTACCTCTGAACTGTAGTGGAGTAGAAGTACACCATGTACCTCTGAACTGTAGAGGAGTAGAAGTACACCATGTACCTCTGAACTGTAGTGGAGTAGAAGTACACCATGTACCTCTGAACTGTAGTGGAGTAGAAGTACACCATGTACCTCTGAACTGTAGTGGAGTAGAAGTACACCATGTACCTCTTAACTGTAGTGCAGTAGAAGTACACCATGTACTCTCTGAAGTGCAGTAGAAGTACACCATGTACCTCTGAAATGCAGTGGAAGTACACAGCAGCATGAAGGTGTCTCTCTTTGCCCTCAGGGGGACTCCGGGGGGCCTCTGATCTGTGACGGGCAGCTGGAGGGCATCGTGTCCTGGGGAATCAGCTGCGCTAACCCCTACTTCCCCGGGGTCTACACCAAAGTGAGGAACTACGTGGGCTGGATCCAGAGGGTCATCGCTACGTTCTCTCCATGAAGACACGCTGCACACACCATGCTACACTCACTCTGTGGAAACACTTGATCACATTCTTCCTGAGGGTTTATTATATTAGTGACTCCACACTGTGAAGCATAGAGCCATGGTTATCTGTCTCTTAGATAGTTAGACCTGTATTTATTACAATTCATGGGTTTTCATTCAATGTTCTTATGGAGAAATCAGATGAAGAAATAAATAGTGGTGGACTGACATGGGTTTTAAAATGGACGATATTGTGTTTTTTCTTTTGCATCTGATACCAATTCAATAATAATGAGACACAAACTACTTTAGAAGGTGTGCATTGCATTCAATTGAATTAGATTAATAAACAGTGTCAGTGGAAAGGGGCTCACTCAGATGTTTAAATAAATACATAATCAGAAAATTCTCACTTTTTAGAAAATCTCAAAATTCTCACTTTTTCCGATAATTTCCAAATTCGCACTTTCAGAAAATCAAAAACGGTTATTTGAAAATCTCAGAATTTTGGCACTTTTGTGTTTTTATGTCATCGTTTCTGAAGCTGCAGCACATTTCTCATAGTGGAAGTGTTTTGAGGCGTTTGGATCTGTCGGCCACCGTAGAAACAGAAATGTTTTCTTGGAGGTGTTTTTTTTTGTCTAATAAAATGTCTTTGAGATGCCAGCTTCAGATTTTGTCTTTTTATTGTTATTTATTATTTAGAGAACACACTTTCATCACACTCTCTGTGCCTGGTTTAAGAACCACAATGGCTCCTGAATCATTTCAGTGGTAACTGGGTTTAAAATAAAGCTGATTGTTACACATTGTTCTGTCGGGGTTCTGTTCAGAGAACAATCCTCTCCTGGCTCGCCAACATGATCTCATTCATACATCTTCAACTGGGATCAATGGTTTCACATTCATACCTGACACATTCATTAAACAGGTCAGAAAATGAGACAGACTCCAGAACTCACTTTGAATATGTTTACTGTAGATGTTAAAGATTACAATACACCAATCTGGTCTGCAGAGAGAATCCTCCGGTACATCCTGACTCCAGATGAAAGGAGACATGATGTCACTTTCCCAGTGATCACAGCCAGCACTGATTGGTGAATATTAAGAAGGGTTATATTGAAGTGACTGCTGCCCTCTAGTGCTCAGAGGGATTATGACAGCATGGCAGTGGCTCTTGTTATTTCATCAGCGATCAGTACTAATGTCCATTATGATCATTCAGAATCAGCTTCATTAACAAACTATGTGAACATAAAGGACGTCTGTATTTCTCTCAGTGCTCTTACAAAAGGAGAACCAAGCTGAACCAAGCAAAGCGTGAACATTCATAAATCTGGAGAAACAGCAAGACATTTGGAGACAAAGACACAAACCAGAGTGGCTCTGAATCTGAAGCTTTGTTTTCTAAGTGATCTGGTTTCAAAGAGCACAGATAACGTCTCTGCTGAGGGGCGAAGGAGCGTCAGGAAACGCTCTCAGGAAGAGTCCGTCTGATTGGTCAGAACTCTGGAGGTGGAAATCATAAAGTTTCTCTCTCTTAGTTTCAGTTGTTTCTTTGAGTTTCCACTCCCTCTGTAATCTGCCTCAGGTCAGTTTGAATCTGGGTTCATGTCTACCTTTACCACCAACATCTACCCAGAGGTGGACAGTGACTAAGACCATTCACTCAAGTACTGTACAAGTACCATTTGGAGGTACTTGGACTTCACTTGAGTACTTCCATTTCCTGCAATTTAATACTTCTATTCCACAAATAATTATCCAGTTTCTTGGCCTGTTCATATTTGTAATAGAAAATATAAGATAATGAATTATGATGTACTAATAAGGATATATAAAATACCTTTGAGTATAAAATACATTAAAGTTAGCTCCACCTTTACCGGCGGCACAGTTCAAATGAAGAACACATGAATGCATCACTAATTATAATCCAGTGATATAATACTGTATATCCCAGGAACCCAGTACTTCTACAGAGTATTTGTACACTGTGGTAGTATTACTACTTTTACCGCAGTAACAGACCTGAGTACTGGTGGTACCACGTGTGATTGATTTGACGTCAGACGGTCAGTCATGTGTGGGGGGGGGGGGGGGGGTCTCACTCCTGCAGAGAACACAGAGACACTGAAGAACCAGAGCGACCAGAGTCACTATACAACGTAAACCCAGCACAGAGAGGTTCAGTGAATGTGGCTCTGAAGGTGTGGAGGTGGGTCAGTGTGTCAGAGGAGACTCTGTAGAAGGAGAGAGAGCCAGCAGGATGATCCAGATACACTGCTACTCTACCAGAGGAGGAGGAGGAGGAGGGGGAGGAGGAGGAGGGGGAGGAGGAGGGGGAGGAGGAGGGGGAGGAGGAGGAGGAGGAGGAGGAGGAGATGTGTGTTCCTCTGTTATTGTGCCTGACAGAGTAACCTCCATCAGACTCCAGACTCCAGGACTGATCATTCCATCCAAACCAACATTCCTCTCCGCCTCCTCTCCTGATTCCTCTGTAAGTCACTGATATATGAACCCCTCCTCTCCACTCGACCTCCCAGTAACAGCGACCAGTCAGAGCTTCTCTGCACATCAGCTGAGGACAGGAGTCAAACCTCTCTGGATGATCAGGATAGTTCTGATCCTCTCTCACACGTGTCACCTTCCTGTTGTAGTCAGACAGTATGAGTCTTCTGCTCACTGTGTTTGAGTCCGGTGTGAGTCCACAGGAATCTGATGAGAGACACAGCAGGTACTAAAGGTTACTAAAGTCCCTGTGATGTCCCAGTGTGAAGATGTTCATGATTAAAAACACACTTACACTTCCTGAGACCTGGCCTCAAGAACCGGACTGCAGCAGGCTCCAGGCTGAAAGCAGAGGGGGGGGGGGTCAGCATGGAAACATGACATGTCTCACTGGTCAGTTAAGGTACGTTCACACCGGGCGCATCGCCGTTACATGTAAAGTCAATGCAAAGACGCAGATAGGTCCATTTGTATGGATTGAGTGTCAAATGTGCGTGACCCTGTAACTGCTGTGAGTCAGAACACCAGAGCATTCATTCATGTGTTTCACTAACCAGTATCAGTATGTCCTGATTTCACTAGCATTTTGAAACCTCTATTACAATTACATCACTGTCAAATATGTTAATATAGTATCTACCATAGCCTCTAGATCAGGGGTCTCCAACCTCTTTTAGGGTGAGGACTACTTTCAAAAAATAAAACAAGTCGTGAGCTACTTTTTCTCCTCTTTTTATGTTGTTTTTTGCAGTGTATATATTTAGCACATTTTAACATTATGACCTTTAACCTTTGTGTCTGTTTGGGTCTGTGGGACCTCACCTCCTCTAGGAGGGTCCGGGGGCATCTCTCTCTCTCTCTCTCTCTCTCTCTCTCTCTCTCTCTCTCTCTCTCTCTCTCTCTCTCTCTCTCTCTCTCTCTCTCTCTCTCTCTCTATAGGGTAGATTCTTTTAATTACATTTCCTTTATTTTTGTGTATATTTTTTACATTTGCTTGGCGAGCTACTTATTGAGGGCTTGCGAGCTACTGGTAGCTCGCGATCGACGTGTTGGAGACCCCTGCTCTAAATGGAGATAAGCTCTGCCTACTCGCCAGCGCGTCTTGTTTGAGGTACGCGAGTAAACACAGCTGGAAGCGGCGGTCGAGCGATAAGAGCGATGCGAATCCTGCGTCCGGTGTGAACGCACCATTAGTCTGTGAAATGATCTGATAGGTCCACAAACTGCTGCTTTCTCATTGGTTCACTATGCGCTTCATATCTCTGTTTTGGTCTTCACTTCAGATTGCTAATCCCTTTTATACTTCTCTGTTCTTTAGTTGTTTTATTCTGAATGTAAAGCTGAACGAGGGGGGGGGGGGGGGGGGGGGCTTCACACCCTGTAGTTTTGCTGCTGATGTAATGAATCCTTCAAGGGAAGGCTCTTGAATCAGTTTATTTATTCATGATGTCACTTCCTGTGCTTAATCAGACAAATCTGTGTGAACATTCAAACCCCCCACTCCATTTCTGTTGGTGGTTCCACGATGAACATTGACCCACTGAGGGGGGCTTTCCTCTCAGTTGTGGAACATTTGTGTTTGATGCTAACAGCTGACGGCAGACAGCGTGAAGAGTCAGGGTCTATCAGCTCTGGTTGTTTCAGGTCATAGGAGCCAGTTTCTACCTCCTCTATCAGACTGAGTGTCTCTCCATACCTGAGCGTGTCCAGTCCAGCAGACAGCAGCCTCCCCCCTGAGTCTCCTGGATGATTGTAGCTCAGGTCCAGCTCTCTCAGATGGGAGGGGTTTAAAGCTGAGGCCAGAGCATCACAGCCTTCCTCTGTGATCAGACAGCCTGACAGCCTGCAGACACACAAACAAGCCGTCAGATCATCTGAGGGTCCAGGACTGGAAGGGGGGGGGCTTATTACTGCTTCACCTCTGGGTCATCTCTACACCTAAAACTCCAGTCACTGCTTCACAAGTCAACTGGACAGCCATGGTAAGGGTCTTATTGATATGAACAGATCATCAAACAAAGGAATAGAGAATAATGTGAACAAAGACACAGAGAGATGACTACAAGAAGATCTGCAGCTGACACTCTACTACAGTTTGGACATCAGACCTCCAACACCACCAGGTAGATCGTCTCAGACGCTCACAGTGTGGCCTATTGAGGCTGGAAATACCCAATCTCTGAGCCCAGTCACTGCACAGAAGAAGCTTTAATCTGACGCCCATTGAGACTGCTTGTTTCTGTGATCTCATCCTTTCAGTGACTACCTAAAGCTCATGACGGTGAGTAAGGGTTGATCGTAGACGGACTGGTAAATAGAGAGTTTTGCCTCCAGCTCAGCTGACTCTGCAACAAACTGCTTGTCCATCTAACGCAGGGGTGGATTTTGTGGTGGTCTACCGTCCGCCCTTAAGCATCCAACTGCGGACTCCTGACACTCAGACACTTTTCATAGTTTTAGGTTACCAAGGGCACGCTTGTCTGGCAGTTATGCACATGGGGGTTTTGTCCAAGGCAGTGTGCTTAAGTCAGGGGGCCCGGGGACTCAAGGTGCGCATGGCAGGCCGCCTATGAGCGGCCAAAATGTTTTAATTCACTCATTATTGTCGTTTTTAGACAGTGTACATTGGACGACATAAACATACGGAGTTATGGACATGAACGTGTCAGTATAGACAGAACAATGTACATATTAATCATATTTATTTTGTTAAATGTACAAGAAGCTAAAAACAGCAGAATCACTGCTTTAAGCAGCATATCACACTCACAGGCAGACATATACACACCCAGGGTGAAAAGATAACAGATTTACCCAGGAATAAGTGTCTGAATCATGGGTACATTAGTGCTCAAACTCGATTATAATGTTTTAATTCCGGAGGTTTTAAGTGTGGTTTCACTTGTCCCACACACCCAGAGTGAAAAGATAACATGTTTACCCGCTAAAGTGTTCAAAACATGGGTATATTAGTGCTCAAACTCGATTAAACTGTTTTAATTCCGGAGGTTTTACGTGTTGGTTCACTCGTCTCACACACCCAGAGTGTTAACAACATTTTTACAAATGTTATAAATTAGTCTAGAGCTCCATCTATTGTAATTTGAGTGTATTACACGTCTGTCCATGGAACGCGAGTTTTGTGCCATTTGAGTGGAGTAAACTGATATGCAGCTGGAGTAACATGTACATTGAGACGCATTGGGACATATCATCGTCACTTTCAATGTTAACCTTGTACATAGGAGGCACAATTCGCTTACCAGTAGAAATGGTGGTGCATACATTATTTGAGATATATTTCAAACTCTGACTTCATTTTAAGGACATGTCGGCCAGGGGTGTAGAGCTATTTGTTTAAGCACCGGATTGGCAAAACAGGAGAGTAAACCAGTCTGCCTTGATCTATGAATTAATGTCCGGGACTCTCACGGTATCTGCTGCCCGCAGCTGCTTTATAGAAGGAAACCCTCCTTCACTTCATGAAACGGCTGCAGCATCAGGAGGCAGCGGGACACACACACACCTCTACACACACACACACCTCTACACACATCGAACTGCCCGATTACTCCCCCTTTTATTAGTTTTATGAAGGAGATGTCAGTCACCAAGGCGCATGATGTGTGTGTATGTGCTCTGCTGAGTGTTCGGTGTGTTTGTGTCTGTCCAACACCGGCATTTGTTTTCACACACACACACACACACACACACACACACACACACACACACACACACACACACACACACACACACACACACACACACACACACACACACACACACACACACACACACACACACACACACACACACACACACACACACACACACACACACACACACACACACACACACACACTATCCGTAAATCATACAAACAAAACCAAAACGTTGATTTATCTGTTTTCACGTTTTGGTTTAAAAACTGAATAACGTGGTTTTTTGGTTTTACGAAAAACCAAAAAACAACACCGGTTCTTTTTTAAACTTTGTTAATATGTTTTGGATGCATATTGTTCTAGTATTTGTTCAGGCTGTTACATACAATTAGCCTCTGTTGCTCCCAGCTGCTGGTGAGTAAATATTAAAATCAGTTAAAATTGACAACCGGTCCGCGATTTCTTTTTAATGTATCTGCCGGTCCTTGGCACAATAAAGGTTGGGAACCCCTGCACTAATGTACCCATGATTCAGACACTTATTCCTGGGTACATGTGTTATCTGTTCCCCCCTGGGTGTGTGCTAGAAGTGAAACCACACTTAAAACCTCCTGAATTAAAACAGTTCCCACGACTTTAAACACTAATGTACCCATGATTCAGACACTTATTCCTGGGTTAATATATCATCTTTTCCCCCTGGGTGTGTGTGGCACCATCTGGTGGAACATTTGTGAATTACACTAAAATCCAAAACTTTAATGTTTTTTATCTTAGCGAAATAATGGTTTAATGACCCCAATGTAATGATCATTTATGATTCTGCAGACGTTGTCTACACGTGTATCACAACGGCTTATTTTTAGAGTGATTTGGAAAACTTGGTTAGTAAGGTTTTTTGTTGTCAATATGAGATGCACTGTTTTCATGTCCCATGTACATGTCTGTACATATGGCCTCACGCACTACTAAGGTAGGGGTGTCAAACTCAATTTCATCGTGGGCCACATTCGCATAAAGGTTGCACTCAAAGGGCCGGTTGTAACTATATAAATATATTATATATATAAAATAATTCATTATATTACATTATTGTCTCTGAATTGGATTATTATCGGATAGGATAATAACTTAGTAATTAACTACGTCTGAAAGCAGAAGTCCAGGGCAAATAATTGCAAGTCTCTTCAGTGCGCATGTCACAAAACGAGATGCATTGTGGGACATGTAGTTTATGGGCAACCTGCTTCTGTAAAGTGGCATGTAACCGTATAATAAACGTATTATATTCTTTGCAAGCTCTTGCGGGGCCACATAAAATGAAGTCACGGGCCGGATTTGGCCCCCGGGCCTCGAGTTTGAGACCCCTGATCTAACGCTTCATTTGACCCTCACTCGTTAATGAGACCCTGAGATTATTGAAGTTCCTCGCTTGGGCCAAAACTCCCAGCCAACACGGATGGAGCAATCCACCTCGGCCTCAGACTAGGAGGTGCTCGGCTGAAACTACCCAAATGAGTGCTGTAGGTCTAACACTTGTGCCAAATCAACAACAATGAAGCTCTTTGTAGAGGCTTTAAAGAAGTCTGTGCTAATTATCATTTTGTGAATTGTGTCTTGTTTCACTACAATGATAATATCCATGATGGTGATCCCAAACCACAACAGCATTGCTGATGTTGGTATTGACTATTACTGCTGCCGAAGTCAATCTGTACTTTGCTCTGACCTGAGAGTCTTCAGTTCACAGTGTGGACTCTCCAGTCCAGCAGACAGCAGCTTCACTCCTGAATCCTGCAGGTCATTGTTACTCAGGTCCAGATCTCTCAGACTGGAGGACTGGGAGCTGAGGACTGAGGACAGAGCTGCACAGCTTCTCTCTGACAGGTTACAGCCACTCAGCCTGAAGAGACGATGAGGACAACAGTTATTCAGGAGACAGCAGTGTATTAATAACTGATTCACTAAATCAAATGATCTGTACTTACAGAGCTTTGTTGGAGGCTTTGACCACTGGCAGCAGCCTCAGAAGAGCCTCCTCTGAAGCAGAGTATTTCTTCAGGTCAAACTCGTCCAGATCTTCTCCTGATGACAGTAAGATGAAGACCAGAGCTGACCACTGAGCAGGAGACAGTTTCTCTGTGGAGAGACTTCCTGATCTCAGGGACTGCTGGATCTCCTCCACTAGAGAACGATCATTCAGTTCATTCAGACAGTGGAACAGGTTGATGCTTTTCTCTGCAGACAGATCCTCTTCTATCTTCTTCTTGATGTACTGGACTGTTTCCTGGTTGATCTCTGAGCCACTTCCTGTCTGTGTCAGCAGGCCTCGTAGGAGTTTCTGATTGGTCTGCAGTGAAAGACCCAGGAGGAAGCGAAGGAACAAGTCCAGGTGTCCATTTGGACTCTGTAAGGCCTGGTCCACAGCACTCTGGTAGAGATGTGTTAGTTTAGGTTCGACTTTACGCTTCTTGGAGGTTGTTGGTTCTTCTGCCAGCAGGTTGACTCCAGAGTTGATGAAGGTCAGATGGACATGAAGAGCAGCCAGAAACTCCTGAACGCTCAGATGGACGAAGCAGAACACCTTGTCCTTCTGGTACAGTCCTCTCTCCTCTCTAAAGACCTCTGTGAACACTCCTGAGTACACTGAGGCTGCTCTGATATCGATGCCACACTCTGTCAGGTCGGACTCATAGAAGATCAGGTTGCCTTTCTGCAGCTGCTCAAAAGCGAGTTTTCCCAGAGACTCCATCATCTTCCTGCTCTCTGGACTCCAGTGTGGATCTGTCTCAGCTCCTCCATCATACTTGATGTTCTTCACTTTGGACTGAACCACCAGGAAGTGGATGTACATCTCAGTCAGGGTCTTGGGCAGCTCTCCTCCCTCTCTCAGTTTTCAACACCTCCTCCAGAACTGTAGCAGAGATCCAGCAGAAGACTGGGATGTGGCACATGATGTGGAGGCTTCGTGAGGTCTTGATGTGGGAGATGATGGTGCCGGCCTGCTCCTGATCTGTGAACCTCTTCCTGAAGTAATCCTCCTTCTGTGGGTCAGTGAACCCTCGGACCTCTGTCACCATGTCCACACACTCAGGAGGGATCTGATTGGCTGCTGCAGGTCGTGTGGTTATCCAGAGGCGAGCAGAGGGAAGCAGCTTCCCCCTGATGAGGTTTGTCAGCAGCACATCCACTGAGGTGGACTCTGTGACGTCAGTCAGGATCTCAGTGTTGTGGAAGTCCAGAGGAAGTCGACACTCATCCAGACCGTCAAAGATGAACACAACCGGGAACTGATCAAACCTGCAGATTCCTGCGTCTCTGGTTTCAGAGAAGAAGTGATGAACAAGTTCCACCAAGCTGTACTTGTTCTCTCTCACCACATTCAGCTCTCTGAAGGTGAATGGAAATATGAACAGGATGTCCTGGTTGGCTTTGCCTTCAGCCCAGTCCAGAGTGAACTTCTGTGTTAAGACTGTTTTCCCAATGCCAGCCACTCCCTTTGTCATCACTGCTCTGATTGGTGCATCTCTTCCAGGTGAGGCTTTAAAGAAGTCTTCTTGTCTGATGGTTGTTTCTGGTCTGCCTGGTTTCCTGGAGGCTGTTTCAATCTGTCTGACCTCATGTTCAGCATTGACCTCTGCAGACCCCCCCTCTGTGATGTAGAGCTCTGTGTAGATCTGGTTCAGAAGGGTTGGGTTTCCTGCTTTAGCAATGCCCTCAAACACACACTGGAACCTCTCCTTCAGGGTGGATTTAAGTTTACGCTGACACACTCCAGCAAAGGTTTCTGAAAGAACACACAACAAAAGATCATCTGGTCCCACTGTAACTCTGGTTCTCTGAATAAAATATGGATATATGTTGGTCTCTAGAGACATCAGCAGATGAGACATTTATCCAGAGTGTTACATCTCTATAGAAACCCTCTTACTGCGGTGCAGACGGTCAGCCAGCTCCTCCTGCTTCATGCTCCTCAGGAAGTGCAGTGTGATGTTCACAAATGCCTCTCTTCTGCTCCTCTGCTCTTCATCCTCAGCCTCCAACACCTCCTCATCATCACTCTGACCCTCTAAGCCTTCTGGGTAATCTGAACTCAGAGCCTTCTGGATCTTCTTCAGCTCGCTCTTCACAAAGGTGACGATGTGGTCCTCCAGCAGCTGGAACATCACATGAACGACACAAACTATAAACCATGGATCCAAACATCAGATCCGGACAGACTGACTCTCTAAAAGTGCAGCATGGAGATGACTGTGAGCAGAAGAGAGGTCAAGTATCTGTAGTACATGTACTCACCGTAAATATGGAGTCCAGCTGTGTCTGATGCTGCTGGGCAGACGGACCACCGGGAACCTCCGAGCTCTCCTGGTCCCCTCTGTGGAGGAACCATGAAGCATTAGCTCACATTATTTATTATTATTCATTTATTTTGGGCGGTTTTGGCGCAGTGGGTTAGAGAGTTGATCATCAGATCAAGGGGCGCTGGTGAACACCAGTTCGAAACCCGCCTCCTTGGGCAAGACACTTCACCCTAATTTGCTCCTGTAGGTATTGTCCACAGTAATGACTCTTACATGTCTAATATGTGTATTGTGTAATCGTAAAGCGCTTTGAGCACCTGGAAAAGCCCTCTCATACAAATGTAATGCATTATTATTATGTCTGTCCACACAGAGACACACTCAGGGTGAAGGAGGACAGGGAGACAGGCTGGTGGTCCTGTGCGTCAGCGGGAACTTTGCACTTCAGGGATACAGTGGAGGAAATAATGATTTGATCCCTTAATGAACAGTCTGTAATTGTAATGGTAGGTTTGCTTTACTAATGAGAGACAGAATATCAAAAAGAATATCCAGAAATGTATATCATATAAGAGACATACATTCATTTGCATTTTCATTTTGTGAAATAAGTATTTGATCCCCTTGCAACCAACACTAATTCTGGCTCCCACAGACCGGTTACATAAGTCCTCTTCCTTTAAGAAGGTACTCATAATATCCACTTGTTACCTGTATAAAAGACACCTATCCATAGAATCAATCAATCAATCAATCAATCAATCAATCAATCAATCAATCAATCAATCAATCAATCAATCAGATTCCAACCTCTCCACCATGGGCAAGACTAAAGAGCTGTCTAAGGAACTCAGGGACAAGATTGTAGACCTGCACCAGGCTGGGATCGGCTACAAGACCATCAGAAAGCAGCTTGGTGAGAACGAGACAACTGTTGGTGCCATTATTCAGAAATAGAAGAAACACAAAATGAGTATCAATCGCCCTCGCTCTGGGGCTCCACACAAGATCTGGCCCTGTGGGGTATTGATGATCATGAGAGAATCCTGCAGCGCCCGCAAGGTCCCCCTGATCAAGAAGGCACATACATACATACATACAGGCCCGTCTGAAGTTTGACAAGATGAGGTATTTGAAGTGCACTTCAAAGGATCGAGTGGCTCCGTTTTGGAGATGATTGGACAACCTTTGGTTCTTTGACGTTTTTAGGACTGAAGCCTGACAAACAGCTCAAAAACTTGCTCTGATTTGCATGAAATCTGCGGCTATGTATTTGAAGTGTACTGTACACTTTAAAAACTGAAGAGCAGGATCTCGGGTATTTGAAACGTACATGACCGAGTCTCCATAATGCATTGAGACAGGGAGGTGACACTTGGACTGAGGAAATCATTTTTGGCTCACCATCAGACTCCCATAAAGTCCCCATTGTCATCCATACAGATGAAATCAAGCAGGGAGTTTCATACAAATACTTGGGTGTAATGATTGACCATCTGCTGTCATGGAAGGAGCACATTGAATATCTGTGCAAAAGGACAAAACTAAGAATGTATTTTCTCCAGAGAAAGCAGAGAAATTCTTCTGTTGTTCTTTACATCTGTGATCATGTCCATTCTACAGTACTGCAACACTACCTGGTACAAATGTTTGTCAGCAGCTTTAAAATCAAAACTGCTCCACCTGTTAAAGATCTGCTCAAAGATTGTTGGTCAACCCTGCCAGAGACTCTATGACTCAGCCTGTCATAACAACCTAGTGAGGCTGTCCAACATCACCTCTGACCCAAAGCATGTTCTGAACAGTGAATATGAACTGCTACCATCTAATCGGAGATACAGGGTCCCACGATTCAATAAGGTCAGACTGAAGCACTCCTTTGTGCATCAGTCAATCCTCTCAGTAAATACAGAGCTGATCCCAGATCAGATGCACGCTGAAGGCTCTTTGAGCATCTCTCACTGATTGTGCTGTTATGTTAAATGTTTGTTGTTTGTGTTTCATGTATTTGTGTCTGGATATTTGTCTATGTTGGTGTTGGACTGTTACGTGCCAGGCAGGCTGTACTTGTGTGATTCTCCTTCCCTCCTGCTTTTCTCTCTTCTCCCTGTCTTCTGCACAGCTAATCAGCAGCTGATCAGGACCTGCCTGTGCACCAGAGTCTGATGGCTGATTGGATCCTCTCACCCTCAGCTGGCCTATCAGCAGCCAGGGCCGACCATAAAGGAGGCACCCAGGAAGTCTTCTCTCTCTCTCACTCTGGGTTGATTGCTGATGGAGGAGCATGCAATTGACTGCCTTGTAACGACAATATTTCTCTTTGTTTTGTATGACCTATGTTGAAAGTGTGTGTGTTGAGAGGTGGAGGAGTTAGGTAAGTCTGGGGTACCCTGTACACTTCTCATCACGTAGTTAACTAATGTTAAGACACACTAGGTTAGCGGATTGTTGCCACCCCTGTATTCTGTTTTGTCCTATTCTGAGTAGTTTAGGTAGTGAGGGTTTTTGTTTGAGTTTTGGTTTCAAAGGATAGACGTAGAGATAGGCCTGCTTTTGTTATGCTTGTTTCTTTTGTTTGGCACAATCCTTCGACTCCTCCTCCTCCTCACACACAGAGTATTTCTGTAAGGTTCTGTTCAGTTTAAAAGGTTTACAAGAATAAACCTTTTGTCAAACCTTTACGCTGACTCTCATATTATTGGTTGTTGTGTGTTAATGTCTCCAGGTCCCCTAGACCTTAGTGGGGACGTAACACAAATGGGGGCTCGTCCGGGATCTTTATTTTCCTGAGCTAAAGATAACCAATAATATTGAAGTCATTGTGGCTGTTGTAAATTTGCTGAAAAAATGGGTTTTGACTTACAGGATTTTATTGAAAGTCCAAGTGTTGATAAGTTGTATTCCTGTCGCAAAGATGACATGTTATGTATTGCAGCTCACTTTAACATTTCAGTAGACAAGTATAGAGTAAAAAAAGAGCTACGAGATGAAATCCTGCAAAAACTAGAGGAGTTAAAGATTCTTGTAATCCCAGGCATGTCAACACAGACTACGGCTGATGTGTCTATTGATGATGATGGTGAACGTGTAGTTGGTGGTTCCTTTATAGAACAGAAGGGTCGTGCTGTATTAGCTACACCTAGAATTGACAAGGTTAAACCTGGAGCTCCTCCCGCAACGCTTCCTAGGTTTGAGGCTTTCTCTCCGGGTAGCTTTGGTGCAAGTAGTAGTGCCAAACTGAAGGTTCGTCTTGCCCGTCTTCAGCTGGAGGCCCAGGAGAAGGAAATGGTGCGTAGAGCGGACTATGATTTCAAACTGCAGATTCGCAAGTTAGAGATAGAAGCTGAAATCACGTTAAAGCGGCTTGAAGTTGATTCCCTGAGAATCTCTTCAGAGCAGAGATTTGAGAGGTCAATACCTTCGCATGCAGTCCATACCAGAAGTTTTGATGTTAGTAAAAATATTGCTTTGGTGCCAACTTTTAGAGAGTCGGAAGTTGACTCATATTTTTGTGCTTTTGAGAGAATTGCTACCGCACTAGTCTGGCCTAAAGACATGTGGCCAATCCTACTTCAGTGCAAATTAGTAGGAAAAGCTCAGGAAGTGGTATCTTCACTTTCTTTGGAAGAAAGCTTGCAGTACGAAGTGCTTAAAGAGTCAATCTTGCGTGCTTATGAGCTTGTGCCGGAGGCTTACAGACAAAAGTTCAGAAACCATAAAAAGTCTGCTACGCAGACATTTGTTGAGTTTGCACGGGAGAAGGGCATTCTCTTTGATAAATGGTGTGCAGCTAATGAAGTGAAGGATCATTTTGAGTCTCTTCGTCAGTTGCTTCTCTTGGAAGATTTTAAGAATTCTTTGCCTGAAAGGATGGTGATATTCTTGAATGAACAGAAGGTCAATTCACTGGCTAAGGCAGCTGTCTTAGCGGATGAATTTATGCTCACTCACAAGACTGTGTTTTCTTCTCCCTTGCGCCCAGATAACGCTTCAGTATCACAAACCGGAAGACCTGATCATGGCACCACAACTTTTGAAAGGTCTAGAGGACCACCGTCACCTCCACGGGGGCCCCGTGAGTGTAACTACTGCCATAAAACAGGACACCTTATTTCAGGGTGTCATTTCTTAAAGCGTAAACAGCAATTTTCGCAACGCTTTCAAACGCCAAAAGGCATGGGACTCATTAAAGGAGTGTCCCTAACAGACATAGGAATGTCCCAGGAAGATGATGTACCTGATCCCTGTTTCAAACCCTTTATTTCAAAGGGCTTTGTTTCTCTAACAGGGGATCCTAAAGACCAGCTGCCAGTACAGGTACTAAGGGACACAGGAGGTTCTCAGTCTATTATTAGAGAAGGCATCTTACCTTTAAACTCCAGATCATCATGTGGATCAAGTGCTGTTGTTCAAGGGGTAGGCATGACACTAGTTGCGGCTCCTTTGCACAATGTTTATATTCACTCATCGCTTGTCAAAGGATTCTTTAAAGTAGCTGTCCTCCCTGCCTTGCCCATCAAAGGTGTTGATTTCATCCTCAGTAATGACTTGGCTGGGGGAAAAGTTAATCCAGTACCTGAGGTCATTGATTCTCCTGATCTAAGCTTAGACACAGGGAAATCAGCTGAAGTACCTCCCGAAATCTTTCCTGCTTGTGTGGTTACAAGGGCCCAGTCAAAGAAATATGGAGAGGACTTGTCTGATTCTTTTCTTGCTACAGGGCAGTTTCTTGATGCCATGACTGTGTCGGACCGACTGCCAGAGGAGGCCCGGTCTGCTGGTGCTGGATCACCCAGTAACAGCTCAGGGCTTGTACAACTGCCTGCCACTCGGGAAGAATTCATGGCAGCACAGATAAGTGATGAAACACTTTCTAAATGTCTCTCTTCTGTTATCAGTCAGGAAGAGGCCAGCTCAAAGAAGATGGCCTACATTATGGAAGATGGCCTATTAATGCGTCGCTGGATTAGTGATGCCTGTGAGGAGTCAGACTCCTTTGCAATTTATCAGGTTGTCGTGCCAACAGCCTATCGTTCTCAGGTGATGTCCTTGGCTCATGATCATCCGTGGTCAG